GTTTCGGGCTCCCGGGTTCCCGGTCGATTTCATTCTCGATCAAACCATCCACTGATCGGTGTTTTTCTCTGGTGTAATATCTTACCAGTATGTTGATGGGCCTGTTTTCGACCACAACCACCATAAGTTGGAGGGGGAAAGAGGTGGAGGACCAGGAGGACCAGGAGGAGGAGGAGGAGGAGGGGGAGGTGGAGGAGGAGGAGGTGGAACCCCTCCCCCTCCAACTTATGTTGGTGGTGGTGGTGGAAAACAGGCCCATCAGTTTTTGTGCGTCCCAGGTCCGGGGCCTCGGGGTCTCCGAGTTCTGGAAGGGCCTCTGCGAGGGCGTCGCGGGGCCGCTCGCGTCCACGAGCTCGTGGCCTGGCCAGAGCCCCCTCTGGGAGCGCCTGAAGCAGGAGAGCTGCTACGCGGACCACGGGAAGCTCAGCTGGAAGCAGGCTCCTCCCAGCCACGCGCAGAGGGGGGGTAGGGGGAGGGACAACGTAAGACTCGAGTATCGGGCCTCACGAAAGGGGGGGATTGGGAAAGGGGGGGTTACAAAATTTGCTGCATGCAGCTGGTTTCGGCCTCACCGAGGGGCCCATTCCCCGATACATAGCCGCCTCCGGCGCCGGGAGGCGCCGGGAAAATCAGCTACGTGAGCTGATTCTCAAACCCCCCCTTTGCTATCCCCCCCTTTCGCCCGACCCGAGAGTATGCCAGAACTCGGGTTTGCCGAAGTTTTTTGACCAGCGCGTCCCGTATTTTGACGTTCCAGTTTTCGTGGGATGTTTGCAGCGAGCCCGCGTCAAATTTCAGGTTGGGTTTCGTTTCGTCATCTTCATGATGGCCCCCGTCAGGCCAACCCGAGTCCCCCGTACACGAGTCTTGCGTCTCCCCGATAAGGGGGAGGGGGGAAGAGGCGTCTTAAAAACACTCCTGCTTCTTGGGAGGCGCGGGCCCTGTCTGTAGATGAGGGGCCCGCGCCTTCTAAGGAGCAGCCTCCTTCTAAGAAGCCTTCCCCCCTCCCCCTGCCCCCCAGTGCGCGGCAAAGAAACGCCATAACCATAAGCAGAAATTTTGGAGCTCCGCGCAGATTCCTCGGATCGGCGCTGGGCCCCCTCGGCGGCGCCCGGCGCACTCCGCGTGCCAGGGAGGCCCGGCGCCGATCCGAGGCATCCGCGCGGAGTTCCGAACGTGCCTGTTGATGGCGTGCTCTGTGCGTGCCGTTTTGAGGCGGAGGCCACGGGGGTGGATCGTGCCGGGCCGGGGCACTTCGCACGCAGCAGCTGGGCAGCCCAAAGCCGAGGCATGAGCTGTCGGAGCCCCTGGAGATACATCATGATGTTGTGCTCTCCCCGGGGGCTGCTCGCCCCTCACACCGTCCCTTTCGAGCCGCTCGATCGCGCTCGATGCTGCTTTCGGCCCTGCCCAATCCCACCCGATTCCGACGCGCCTGCGACCCGATGCGGCCCGCTCTTTCCAGGGGCCGATGCGGCTCGATCTCGACTCCGTGCCGATGCAGCCCGATCTGGCGCACATCTCGATCGGACCCGATGTCCCACTCCGATGCTGACCCGCCTGAGCCCCCTCTGGGCTCCCGCCGGCCAGGCGCAGGAGAACCTGGCGAGACGGAGCCTCGTGCCCTTCCCCGAGATCGTGCCGATCCACCCGCTGCGCCGCCCAGAGCTGTGCCAGCACGCCTCCCTGGGAGCTCTCGCAGGCGACGCGAGCGCGGAGGAGGTGGGCAGCATCGTCGAACCCATCCCCATTCCCGCTGGGCCATGGTAAAGCCAGTGCACTACACAGATGTCGGCCTGCCAGCAGGCGTCCTGCGGAAGTGTCTTCATCTCCCGATGGCCCCAGGGGCCCACGGAAGGTCTGCGGCACCCTAGGGCCCTAAAGGTTCGATGACGAATGTGCCCCAAGATTTCTTTCGCAAGATCTATCGGGCGAAATTGCATATAATAACTTTTTCATAGTCGGGGGCGCTGGTCCCAGGGTGGCTGGAAAGTTTGCACCCTTCATGTGACGTCTGGGTATAAACTTTCCATGCGCCCTTGGACAGGCGCCGCTGGCGACGGACAAGCTCATGCTATACCGTTCTTCGCCCGCTAAAAGATTTCTGATCGTATGCGCGTACTGTACCTCAGCCCCACCCTCCGAGGTGGGAATTTATACATGACCACCGCCTGGAGGATCAATTTTCTGGGAACTCGGCAGGCGGTGGACATGATATGGATGTATATAATATATATATATGTATAATATATATATATATACACATACATCTATGTTCGGGCCCCCGGGGGCCAAAATATATCGATATCCGCCGCCCGCCGGGGCACCAGGACGTCCGTTCCCAGGCGGTGGATGGGGGTAAATCCCCGCCTCGCACACCGGGCCACCCCCCCACGATTCAGGAGGGAAATAAACACACAGACATAATTAATCGTCGACTCCAAGGAAAATATGGGAAAATATGGGAAGTGGGGGGAATCCTGCTATTTGTGTGTATTATATATGTCTGTATGTATGTATGTCTGTATGTATGTATGTATGTATGTATGTATGTATGTATGCATGCATGCATGCATGCATGCATGCATGCATGAATGTATGTATGTATGTATGTATGCATGTATGTATGTATGTATGTGTGCATGCATGCATGCATGCATGCATGCATGCATGCATGCATGCATGCATGCATGCATGTATGTATGTATGTATGTATGTATGTATGTATGTATGTATGTATGTATGTATGTATGTATGTATGTATGTATGTATGTATGTATGTATGTATGTATGTATGTATGTATGTATGTATGTATGTATGTATGTATGTATGTATGTATGTATGTATGTATGTGTGTATGTGTGTATGTGTGTATGTGTGTATGTATGTATGTATGTATGTATGCATGCATGCATGCATGCATGCATGCATGTATGTATGTATGTATGTATGTATGTATGTATGTATGTATGTGTGTGTGTATGTATGTGTACATATATATATATACTTATATATTTATTTTTTTATATATATATGTGTGTTTGTGTATGTGTGTGTGTGTGTGTGTGTGTGTTCCAGGGCCCCTTCAACGATGGGGACAGCTCCCGCGAGGCCAGAGGGGAACAATGGGGGGAGGGGCAAGACGACCAGCGGAGCCTGCGGCCCTGCCGGCGGGGAGGGCGATCGGCGAATCCACGCTCAGGTGTAAGTCGGGCCTGTTCCTCTACAGGAGGAACATTCAAAAATAGTCAAAACAAGAGAGTCAGGGGACGATGTCTGGAACATTTGCTGTTTGTCTTTGAGTATTGTTGGGCTTTTTTCTTCCAACATCGGCCTGTGGGGGGACATGCCCGACATCGTGCTCAGGTGGAGCGCGCGAAGGCTTGGCTGAAGGCGACGGTGGCCGTGTACGTGCTCGTCTTCTCGAAGCAGCAGGACCCGAAGAACGACGAGCAACACACACACACACCATCTCGGAGGTCCGCGCGCGGCTCTTGGATCGGCGCTGGACCCCCCGGCGGCGCCTCTGGTGCTGCCCCTGGGGGGCTCCGCGCGCCAGGGAGCCGGGGCCCGGTGTCCGCGCGGAGCTCCGAACGTGTTTGTGGACGGTGCGCTCTGCTCGTGCAGTTTGAAGTCGGGCCCGTCCCTCTGCAGGAGGAATATTCAGAACTAGTAAAAAAATAGTCTGGGGACCATTTTTCAATATTTTTGACCATGCTGGAATATTTGTGGGGCGGAGGCACTTCACACGCTTCAGCCAGGCAGCCCCAAGCCGAGACATAATCGGTGGCAGCCCTCGGGTACATGATGCAGTTCTCAAGCCTGTGTCTCATGTGCTGCTCGTGTCTTGTCGTGTTTGGCCCATGCCGTTGTCTCGCCTTCCGAGGACCCCCCCGGCGGCCCCGCCGGCGCGGGCCTCTCGGCCCAGGGCGTCGACTTCGAGCTGCTGCAGGGCCTCGACCTGGCGCGGAACGGCTCCTACCAGATGGCGAAGCAGAGCGGCGCGATCCCAGCCGGCTTCGACTCCGCCAAGGCCGAGACGGCGTCTCGGACCATGCTGCAGGGCATGGACGGCATCGCCGGCGCCGTCGGCCTCGCAGCCTCGCACCTGCAGGCGATGGGCCACGCGGCGTCCGCGAGCGACGGGAAGCCGCTGGTGCTCATCCTGGAGGAGGACTCGGGCGGGGGCCGGACAGGGGTAGGTCTCTCCAGAGCGTCCCAGAGCGCTCCCGGCGCGTCCCGGAACGCTCAGAGAAGGGCGCGGCGCCCGACACGTCCTCCAGGAAGCGTTGGACCTCAGAGATCCCCCCGCGTGCCCCTCTCCGACTGTGTCGCCGTCCTGGCTTCGCTTTAGGACGCCGCGCCCGCGCCCGACTTCGCCGTGAGGCTGCGTCGCCTGGTCCAGGACGAGGCGCCCTGCGACTGGGTCGCCATCTCCCTGCAGTCGGCCTGTCCCTATGGCGAGTGCGTCACGCCGCACCTGTCCCGCGTGCGGCCCAACGCCAACGAGCCTGCGGAGCGCTGCCACCACGGCGTGAACTTCGGCTTCTACTCCATGCTCTACCGCAGGGTGCTGCTGCCGTCCCTCGTGCGCCGCCTCGAGCAGGCCGTGTGGGACGTGGAGAGGCCTCGCTGCCTGGACGTCGACGTGGCGCTGGCCTCCCTAGCCGACGAGGTGGCATACTACGCCGTGCCTAAAGTGCAGGTGCCGGGACTCATCGTGAGCGGCGGGGAGGAGTCCTCGCGGGTAAAGAACATGGCGAACGCCCAAGTCCAGCTGGAGGAGACCGACAAGCAGGGCACCCAAAAGAGTCATCGCGAAGCCACGGTTGAGGACGAGGGGGGGCCGTTGTTCTATTACACCACGACCACCACGACCTCGACCAGCCAAACCAGTACCACGACTTCGTCGACGACGTCCACAACCACCAGCACCTCATCCGTCACAACAACGGTATCAACGACTGTCGCTGCTCCCTGGTGGCAAATCTGGAGGTGACCTCCGCCGATAGCGCAGCCGGGAGCGGAGCCGCAGCCGTTCCCGGACAGATAATTCGTGGAGGCTTTTTCACCCCTACTGCTTCGCACTCTGTCGAGCCCGCCTGGGCTGACCTCCACTCACCCGCCACCCTCTGGCAATCCTGCTCTGCATGTTGTAGCGGCTTCCTGCTCGAAGAAAGGGAGGTGCACGAGCATACACTTTCGGAGGACCGTGTGGATATTTTGGGTCGGCACTGGAGCTTCCTTGGCGGCGCCTCCGGCGCGTCCCCTGGTGCGCTCCGCGCGCTAGGGGGAAGGGGTGCAGCGCCGACCCAAAATACCCGCGCGAACCTCCGAAAGTTTGTGTGGTATGCAGTTTTTTTTTTTTATCTATGCTCAGGACGTGTGTTGGCCCAGTGTGTGTGTGTGTGTGTGTGTATACCCCGTCAAGCTCCACCGATATCACGCTGCATGTTTCGGCCCTCATCACGTTGCCTGCCTCGCTTGGAATTGTTTACGAGCACACGGTGGCGCTAACTCATGTTCTGAGGATAATCAATTCTGTATGCGCAGTAATGCACCCTGCCAGCCCTGCTGGGTTCCGCTGGGTGGATGACCAGGCCTGGCGCACAACGAGGCGCCAGGCCGCGATGCTGCCCGTCTGTCTGCGGCAATCGCGCTTTTGCGCGGGGCGGGGGGCGAGGAGGAGGAGGAGGAGGAGGAGGAGGAGGAGGAGGAGGAGGAGGAGGAGGAGGAGGAGGAGGAGGAGGAGGAGGAGGAGGAGGAGGAGGAGGAGGAGGAGGAAGAAGATTGCCCCCCCGTGGCTCTGAAGCGTGGCTGCGCGCCCTCTGATGGCACACGTGTGCATAGCGCTGCTGGGCAGGCCTTGTGGGGACGAGGGCCTCCTGAAGACACCGCCCAGCCAGCTCACAACCCCGGCATCCCCACCCGAGGGCGGGCGGGCGAGAGACCGACCCCGTCGGCTGCCAATCGGAGCTCGACCACCACTCTGAGCAGGGTGCCTGGCTTGCATTTGCCCCCCGCCCCAGCCAGGCGGACCGCCAGGCCCGAGCGCGGCCAGCCTGCACAACGGCACGGCACGGCACCACGGCACGGCGCGACGGCACCTGCCTGACGGCACGGCACCCACGGCACTGCGTGACGGCACGGCACCACGGCATCGCGAGGCCTTGCCCTTCCCCGCGCGCGACGGCACGGCACCAACGGCAGTACGTGGCGGCACGGTACCGCGGCACGGCGCGGCACTGCCCCTTCCGCCCTCGGGACGACGAGCGTCACCAGACTTGATGTGGCACCGCACGTGCTCGAGCGAGGCCGCGAGCCGCCACCCTCGAGGAAGGTATCGGGTGCTCAATGACCTCAATCGCAGCCGCCGCCACTGCTGCCAATGCCCCCTGCCGCTACTCGAAGAGTATGGTTAGAGAGGAGGTGGAGAAGGAGCGTGTGGAGGAGGGGGAAGAGGGGAAGCAGGAGGATGAGGAGGAGGAGGAGGAGGAGGAGGAGGAGGAGGAGGAGGAGGAGTTGGATCAGCAGGTTGTGGAAGAGGAGGTCAAGGAGGAGAAGGAGGAGGGGTGGAAGGAGGCGAAGGAGGAGGAGGGGGAGGAAGAGGAGAAGGACAAGCAGGATGAGGAGGGGGAGGATGAGCATGAGGAGGAGGAGGAGAAGGAGGAGGGGGAGGAGGAGGAGGACCAGTGTAAACCCAAGAACCATCAACAATGTTGGAGTAAGCCCTCCCTCCAAACTCTTTTTTCATAGGCCCCTACAACGGTTCATTTCCATTGATGGAGCTGCCTCGTTGGAAGGCACCCGCTTGAAGACCCTGAAGCATGCCAAAACATTGTTCTCAGGATTCCAACGCCACGGACCAACTGGACTGTTGCGTCTTGACGATCCTGAATCGCTCCAGAACGCCATTCCTAGGACTTCAATACAGAGAACCACCGTATCTGTTGCACTAATCCTGAATCATTCCAACACAAAATTTCTGGTACGCTGAGACCCGTGAACCTCTTGAACATTTGTTGAACGAATGTGTGCCGCGCTAAAGCGAGAGCCACATTTTGAAAAGGAACCGCCCTCAATCCGTGAAGCTCTTGCAATTTGTTTAAACGAATATGCGCCGCGCGAAGGCGAGCGCCACATGTTGAAAACCACTCGCTCTCAATCCGTGAACCTCTTGCAACTGTTGAAAAGGAATGTGGAGCGCGCTGAGGCGAGAACCACATTTTGAGCACCACTCGCCCGAAATCCGTGAAGCTCTTGCAAATGCTTAGAACGAATGTGCGCCGCACTAGGGCGAGAGCCACATTTTGAAAACCACTCGCCCTCAATCCCTGAAGCTCTTGCAATTTGGTTAAACGAATGTGCGCAGCGCTGAGCCGAACGCCACATTTTGAAAACTACCCGCCCTCAATCCGTCAAACGATTGCATAAACAAAAACGAATGTGCACCGCGCTGAGGCGAGAGCCACATTTTGAAAACCTCCCGCCCTCCATCTGTGAACTTGTTGCCACTTTTGCAGCTTCAGAGTCATACATGGTGAGGAAGTCTAAGGCGAAACGTTCGGCCCGCCCTAAAGACGTGCCTCGCGCTGCAGCAGGGATAAGCTATTTTAGAAGGAAGCGGAATGGAGAAGGAACATGTGGAGGAGAAGGAACATGTGGAGGAGGAGGAGGAGGAGGAGGAGGAGGAGGAGGAGGAGGAGGAGGAGGAGGGGAGGGGGAAGGAGGAGGAGAAGGAGGAAAGGACGAGGAAGATACGTAAAGGATGAGGAGGAGTTGGGGAAGGTTTTTTGTGGAGGAGGAAGTCGAGGAGGAGGAGGAGGAGGAGGAGGAGGAGGAGGAGGAGGAGGAGGAGGGAGGAGGAGGAGGAGATGGGGGAGGAGGAGGAGCAGTTGGAAAAGGAGGTTGTGGTGAAGGAGGTCGAGGAAGATGAGCAGGAGGATGCGGAGAAGGAGGAGGAGGAGGAGGAGGACGAGGAGGAGGACAAGGAGGAGGACGAGGAGGAGGACGAGGAGGAGGAGGAGGAGGAGGACGAGGAGGAGGAGGAGCGGACGCGAAGGGCGGTGCCCGCCGCGGGCACCGCGAAGAGGAGCAGATCGGGACCCCCGCCGAATTCGCAACCGCGGGCAGGGCGAGCGCCCCCCCAGCCCCGCGGCAGCTGCGGGGCCGCGCGTGCCCTGCGGGGCGGCTCCGCCCGCCCGAACCTCGGGGATCTACTGCTGACCCGTGTCGATGCACACCCGGGCCAGTCTAGTTTGGCAAGATCCTGCAAGATTCTGCAGGATCGGTCGGGACCCCTGTGGCCTCCCCCACGCGTGCCCCTACCCCTTGCGAGAGGCCCGAATTCGAGCCGCACCGCGGCTCAGCGCAGCGCGGCGGCGCCATCGGCTCGAAGCGCGGCGGCGGAGAAGCGAGCAAAAACAGCGCCCGGGGCGCTGTCGCCCCGCAGGGGCGCCGGGCGGGCGGCGGGCTGCGCAGAAACTGGCTGCGCGTCAGAGCAAGCCTTCGCCAGTGTCCACAGGGGTTTCCCCGAGCCTAAGTCGGGCGTGTCCCTCTACAGGGGGAATTGTCAAACATAGTAAAAAAATAGTCTGGGGACGATTTTTCTATTATGTTTGAACATTTTGGGAGTATCTTTTGGGGTATTCTAAATTTTTCGTCCAAAATCCCCCTGAGGCCCGACCTAACCTGAGCCCAGGTTTGCGCGCGGGAGTCGATGCCCCCGCGGCCCTCAAGAGCCGTGCACCAGAGTCGGCGGCGAGCGACGGGGGGGAGTGAGAGGGAGGGGGCCTTCTCAGACGGCGGCGGGGCTTCTCAGGAGCCAGTCTTCTCAGAAGTCTTCTGTGTCTTCCTGGAAGGCTTATAACATTCCTCGGAAGGCCGGATGATTTCCGAGCCTTCTGAGAAGGTCCGCCCCCTCTCGCTTCCCTCCCGGGCTGGCCTCCAACATGGGTCAATCTTGCAGTGGGTCATTCTTTTTGCATGTAGCCGAAGATATAGGCGCTGTCGCCCCGCAGATGCGCTGGGCGGGTGGTGTGCAGCGCAGGGAGGATGGACACCCGCCTGCTCTCGTCGCGAAGAAAACAACGACGGACGGTTTTGGGCAATTTTTGGCCTCTGGGGGCCCTTGCCGGGCCCCAGGTCCGTCAGAGGACGAACGGCCGGTCGTGGGGAAGGACTTCAGACCTCTGGGGGTCCACGTTCCCAGAAATCTGGCGTCGTATTTTTTGCTGTTCTTCTGTTCACCCGCAACGTGGACCCCCAGAGGTCTGGACCCAGTTCCCAGAACCAGTTTTACGTCCTGGGTCGGTGTGTGGCCGTCCTGGGGCCCCGGAGATTTCACTCAAGGCCAAAACCCCAACGCTCAAGGCCCAACCAAACACTACACAGGCTTACAAACATCGTTTTGGCCTGTGGAGCTTTTTGTTTGGCCTTGCGCCTTGCAGTTTTTTTTGGCCTTGCGCACGCCACAAGCAGCCCCATGGGGCCCAACGCACAAGGCCCCCAAAGAACACATGCCAAAACTCAGGTTGCGATTTCTTCTTTGGTCCCCCAGGTCACCACTCCTTCTGTGGCCCAGGCCGCTGGAGCAGCGGAGCACCCCCCCGCCCCGCGCGCGCGCCCCCGGCAGGGCCCGGCGGCCCGACGCGCAAGGCCCCCCCCCCCCCCCCCCCCAAAACACACGCCACAGGCCCAAACCGAGGTCACGATTCTTCTCTTCGGGCCCCCGGGAGCTCCACCTGCCAGAGCCCAGGTCACGATTCCTTCTGCGTGCCGGGCCACGGGAGCTCAGCGGAGCAGCGGAGCACCGCGCGCCCCCAGCAGGGCCCCGGGTTCCGGCGCGCAGTACCCAAAAGAAAGCCCCACAGGCCTCCAGCAGTGGCGAAGCGTCCTGGCGCGCAGGTAGGCCCACCAAAGAATGTTCTGATAACTTGTTGTGGTTTGCACGAAATGTTTTCAGACACATTTATGGCTGAGTCTGTCTTGTTTTAACAC